GTTAGGCGGAAAATGTAGGCAAAGAACCTTAAAGAATGCGTGTGAGATAACGCCGGTCTACTCACATGAATTAATGGTTTAAAAGCATTGTTACCTGACATTTTGGTTAGACTTTGCGTTGTCTTTACTAAGGTTAATTTTAAATCGACATTAAATGCATTAACATTCTTTATTTCCTTTCTGAAATTGATCTTGTCATTATTAGAACAAGTGACAGATTTTTTTAAATTATAAATAATTAATAATATTAAGTGTGTTCTAAAATGACAAGAAAATATTCCAGTGAATATTACATTTTGAATTTTAAAAAAACCAATGTTTTGTGAAGGGTTGCTGTAGAATGAACACAGGCAATGGTTGAAAACATGACAACTTTTAGTTAAAAGGTGTTTCATCAAGGGTCTATCTCATTTGAGAATTCAGAAAATCATATCACAAACCAAATATTCTCTTGTACAAAATTTCAGGCACTCTTTGCTACATAATCAAGTTTTCGTCGATCTTGCGCAAATTCGATATAAGGCTGAATTATTCTGAATATTCATGCGTTCCAAATCTAAGACATACAAGAAAATGCTTGAAATATTTTTAAGAAAAATGACATCATTCACGATTCAGTCCTGAATCCATTCGACTTCAACAATATTTCTAACCTATTTTTCTCCCTTAGAGGCCATCTTGAATAGAACAATCAACTTATGATCTATACATATTTTTCTCCCTTAGAGGCCATCTTTAATAGAACAATTAACTTTTGATCTAATGTGATTTACGAGGTGTGTATTTTTCTCCCTTAAATGTCATCTTTAATAGAACAATCAACTTTTAATCTAATGTGATTTACGAGTCATTGTTTGATGCTTATTATAAGATGTAAATAATATCATTAAATCAAATATACTAAGATGTGATCAATGCAGCTTCCTAGTGTGTTCCTAGGTTATCTAGTAGGAAATAAGTAGTAGGAAATAAGCTAAAAAAATACATACGCACACAAAATTGATTCATTTTATTCCAAGATTTAATGTAACCCCAACCAAAACTCTTAACAACTCATTGTACATTCATAATCATTTTCATATATCCCATATTATGTGTTGGCTCCGCTGCAAAAATATTATCCAAGACTCTCTTACTATATAAGAAACTAGTAAACAAAGTCTTTGATAATCTCCACCAAAGCTTCAAATCCCAGCATACAGTTGAGCTACTTATCCTGTAATGATCAGGAGATATCATAAGAATAAACTCAAATATAATCTCAAAACTCCATAACTCGCATGCATGCAAAAGACATGTATAAAGAAGATTTAGAAGAACACTTAATTTTAATTAATTCATATTGAAACAATGTACGACTGAAGACAACTACTCGTGTTAAGACTTTCATTATGGTGGTGGTGGTCAGAGAGGTACCTGTAAAAAAGGTTAGCACTCTGACGCTCAAGTTAATATATGAATGAGGTGAAACTTTACAAATATGAATAAAAGAATACTTGATTGTGACGCTGTTTCCCGTGAAAATTGGAAAGCAATCACTGATCTTCCAAATCTAACTTTGGTGACTCATGGGATCGATCAGATTGATCCTAGGACATGTGCTAAATTTTACTTAAAATAAAATACTAAGGAAATGAACACTTCGACAATGTTTATGAAGAAAAGGTTAATGTAAATGTAAGGTTCGACTGAAATGAAAGGAAATGCAATTGTAGGAAACAAAGTAAAGAGCCTTCAAAAACACTTAAACAAAGTAAAGCATAATTCCAGAGAGATGTAAACTGCAAGGAAGTAAAAGATAAACTCTTTAAGATAAAGCAAAAACAAGTTTCATTAAAACGTAGAAATGGTGTTTTTTACATGACGTATATTCTCCCATAACTCTTTTCTCTACACTCGGATACTTTGAATAAATTTTGGAGTGACTTGTACAATAGTAAATTACAACACACCAAATTCTATTGTTAGATCCCTTATTTATAATAATACAAATAACTGCTATTAACCTCCTAACATGATAAGCCCATGACAAGTGTCACGCCGCATGTAGTTTCTTGTTGGATGTGTGCCATTTGTCTTGTTCAACAATGAGAAAGCATAACTACTCTCTCCCTTATTTAAATTTCAAATTCCACTAGTATTTAGCCAGCATCCTCGGCCGAAGGTGGCCTCTTTAATGTTTAGAAATATTTCTAAGTCCCAAAAAGTCTTCCCTCCTTATGTGGATGCCTTCGATTTCATTTATGACCAAGACCCACTCGAAGGTTTTTCCATATTACTTCAAGATTTCAATATCTCACCCAAACATTCTAATTGAGAGAATATTGAGAGATATTGAGAGAATATTGACACAGCAAACAGAATATTTATGTTTGGAACAATTGTCATCAAATTGCAGAACCTCATTATAAACCACATTTTATGTAACACCGGATGGACATACTTCGCCAAATTGCATATAATGTTGTGCTTCAAAAAGTGAGCAACCAGTGCTTTAAAAGTCGGACCGGTCATCGAACTAGTGAGGGTATTGGGTCACTGGTTTATCGGTCGAACCATTGGGTCACTAGTCGAACCGTATGACTAAACCGGATAACTCGGTTGAATAGACCTGTCATTATATAGATATAAAACCGGTCGAACCGGATGATTCAGTTTCTAAAAATATATAACTAGTACTTAAATTTTTTGAAAATAAATTCACAAGTTCATAATTTAAATTCAAATTTTAAACAAATGTATCACACATAACAAAATAATACAAAATTACAAAATCTAATTGCAACATAATATAATTGAATAATTTATAACAAAATAACTCCAATGTCTACTTAAGTTTAGTTCCAAGGAGGTAAAATTATTTCAATATTGGGATCTCCTTCTTCAATATCAAAACCATCTGCAGTAAAATCAATCGCATTTGCAACATTTTCCTCATCAATGATATTATTATTTTGGTTGTTTTCTCCAGAATTAAGTTGTTCATCATCCTCGAAATCAACCTCATCCAAATTTAATTGATCTGTAACAACAAATAAATTAGAGAGTTAAACAATTAACATATAGTAATAAATTAAAGTAACAAAATTGTTATTAGAATAACTAATATCATACCAATATCATTTGACATAGGTTGAATTGTCATACTAGCAAGATCTTTGCGTAGTGCTTCCACCTCCTCAATGGTTAAGAATGGTGGTGAATCCTCCAACACCCAATCAGAATGATCACCAAGTATTTCAAAATTGATAGGATCATAATTTTGTTTCTTCTTGTTTCTATAAATCATTAACGATAATGTCAAACATAAAACTCATTAATATTCTTAAAAACTAGTAGTATATAACTAACTTAACTAGCTTAAAAATTAATAGTATAAAATATATATTAACATTGTACTAAAATGCAACATATTAAGCAATAGCAACAACCAAAGCATATGCTCAAATTCTTAATTAAACGTTTCCAAATCAATCTATTTTTTGAGATAGAAAAACAAATTAACAAGTTTCTACATATCAAGCAATAGCTAGTAGTATAAACAATATCATAAGCAAACAACATATAGTTGTTTCCAATTTTCATCATTCATAGTCATAAGCAACATAGGTATATAAGCAATAGCATATAAAGCATAATAAGTGCAATACCTGTTTTGTAGTCGTAGGTTGTAACGAACAAAGACAAGATCATTAAGCTTTTGATGATCCAACCTATTTCTTTTTTTTTTAATGAATGTCCTCAAATACATTCCAATTTCGTTCACAACCAGATGCACTACAAGTTTGGCTTAAAATCTGAATAGCCAACTTTTGCAAATTGGGCGCTTCGGTTCCATAAGTTTCCCACCATTGATCTAGAATAGTGCATGTGAAAAAATTAGAAAACATTTTAAAATTCATATTGAAATTATAATAAAATGTATAAAGTTTATCATCTAATTTTACCCGGCAAAACTTCATCTCAATTTTCTACGGCTATTGTCCTTTCAAAACTACCTTCACAATTTTTGAATAAACTCATCTCAACAGTTAATTTAGTTCGCAAGTCCTTACTATCATAAGGATACTTTTCAATGATATCCAAAAGACCTTGGGTAGTAGACTTGTGTTTTTCATATTCTTGACTGAATCTACAAGATGGATTTAACCAATAACCAGCAGCATGAAGATTTTTACGAAGTTGTGCATCCCAACGGTTATCTAAGATCCTCAAATAAGGCTCTACTTTCAGCTTATTTCTTCTAAACCTCTTCTCAATCTCCTCTCTTGCTTTATACATAGCTCGATAGAGATATCCCATAGCCGGTTTATCTTCACTATCAACAATACGCAACACACGTACAAGAGGTTCTGTAATTTTCACTATGTCAACACATGTAGACCAAAAGCTTGAGTCTAATACTTGTTTCACAAATTGCTTTGCCTTGACATCTTTGGAATAAGTTGTAGTTGTCCACTCTTTGGAAGTTACCATGGCTCTTAGTGCATCTTTATGAGACAAAATACTTTGTAATGCAATAAAATTAGTAGCAAAGTGGGTTGGAGCAGGACGAAGTATTTCTCTTCCACCTGTATTTTGCCTCATCAAATACAATGCAAAACAATGATTATATATGTATTTGGTAATTTTTGAAGCATGTGACACTGCCCCACTTACTTCCTCTAATTTCCCCATGTCTTGCAACATCAAATTAATACAGTGTGCTGCACAAGGAGACCAATACAACTTAGGAAACTCCTTTTCCAACAACTTTCCAGCAGCAACATAATTTGCAGCATTATCTGTAACGATTTGAACAACGTTTTCTGGGCCAACATACAACACTAATTCCTTGAAAAGCTTAAACAACGTGTCTGCAGTTTTAGAAGCACCAGAGGCATCAACAGACTTTATGAAAACAGTTTCTTTGGGGCAATAAACTAAAAAGTTGATAAGAGTTCTTCTACAACGATCAGTCCACCCATCTGCCATAAGAGTACAACATGTATCCTTTCAAATTATTGCTCTAACTGTATCTTCACGTCATCAACCCACTTATTTAACAAATTACCACGAAGAGCATGCATAGTAGGAACTTTGTATCCAGCACCCATGCAACAAAGAGAATCAATTGCTGGTTGAAAATAAGGCGAATTTGCAGCATTGAAAGGAATAGACGCATCAATAAACCACTTCGCAATAGCAATATCACACTTTTCTACCACTTCTTTAATTTGCATCACACTTTTTAAAGTAGGTTGAGCTCCCGGAGTTGTTCTGGGTAAGAAATAAGTACCAATGCGAGCATCATTCTTTTTAGATGCACCAATTCGTGGGTGCATTTGAATTTGCAATTCACCCTCCTTTGCAGAAAATGACTCACTTTCAGCCACATATGGAGTTTTTCTTTTCTTGCTCCGCTCATTAAGACATTGATTCATCCGAAAACGAATTTTTGTAGGAACTGACTTACAAATTTCAACATTTCCTACTACTCCATCCAAGTGTTGCTTTACCCTATGAATTCCACCTCCACCAAATGCTTTGTGATAGTAGATACAAACAAGAGTTTTTCCATCAGGACTTTTAGTACAATGTGTCCAAGCTATATCAGTCTTTTGTCTAACATTATGTTGAACTAAATTAGGAGTTGAAAAAGCTTCTTGTGATGGTGGTTGTGATGATGGTGTTTCAGAAGATGCCATTTTCCTGTAAAACAGTTCAAAATTGCTACATTAAAATACACTTTAGTCTCACGTATTAGCATTAAACAGTTCAAGATTTTCCATCAAAACATCTTATTAGCATCAAAACAGTTCAAGGCCTATAAAATGTAAAATGCACAGCAGAATTGCAAACATACACACTCATAGCAGTTTGGGTTCCATGACTAACACAAACTTCCATAAAAATATCGTTATGAAAAATGCTCATTCTTAAAAACAATAATAATCAATTGAATATTTGTTAGAAGAAAATTGAATATTGTGTTTGTCTTAGAGCAGGAAAATTAAAAATTGAAATGTGTATTACATAGAATCAACTTCCAATTGATATGGGAGTATATCATACAGAATCATCAATTTAATAGTACGCTGTATGACAAGGAAATATCATCTAGAATCATCAATTTAATAGCATACTCTATCTGATATACTCTATAGTCAGTGAGATATGATAAAAAGCAAAACCATAGATTAAAAAATGAATGTTGCAATCAAAATGGACACTCTCCATATGAATTTTGGACCACTTTATCACTTACAATTATATCATAAACAACAGAACTTTTTTGGTAGATGAAATTTGATTTCTCAATTATTAACATTCAAAACAAAAAGAAACACAAGATTGTAAAGACAAAACAAAAGTTCATATAATAGTTAACATAGGAAACATAAAGTTAAGATATGGACCACACAGGATCATGATCATATCATACTACATTATTGCATTTCATTACTGGTAAAATAAACTAAGTCAGAAGAAATCCCTGCTACCGTAAAAGACGCGCGAATTACTACTCTTTGATGATTGTAATTTCGGTTCCGAGGTTGAGTTTCCCGAACTAGTTGGTCCAGTTTCAAAGTCCATAGGAAGTTTCATTTTTGCTAATGACTCGGTAAATTGCTACATACTTTTCATGTACATGTCTACTATACCCTAATGCATTTTTTATCCTAATGCATTTTTTATCCTTACTTTATCTACCTTACTTTATCTACCTTTCTTATCAATTTTGATGCCAAGATCAATTTCAATCCAATGTAACCAAACCTTTAAAGTTTATAAAAAAAACAAAAAAGACATACCAGACAATAAAATACACTGTTATAGTCTTATTATAGTTACAAAAAGAAATGAGTTCAATGAGGAAGATAATCAGCTAAGTAAGGAATATCACAATGCTGCCAGAAAATAGCAAACAAGAATACAAAAGTTTGGCTAATATGACCCACAGCCAATTGGTATATACTAATCTGAATTTGCTTGTGATAGTTTTGAACAATATGGAACAGAGTAATATGATAGTGTCCCTGAACTTTTTAGCATGACAGTCCACTATTAGTAAAAGTAATTTTGACAGAATAAGCATTAATCAAACACAGTACAGGTGCATCACAACAATTATTAAAACCATAAAACTTGTTCTTTATTTCTGGCAGAATAATATAATACACTAGTTAATGACAGTGCTAATTAGCATCATAGTAATTTCTTCATCATGACTCAATAACATAAATAATTTCTTTATTTCTTTATTTCTTTATTAGCATCATAGTAATTTCTTCATCATGACAGGTTCAATACTTGTTCTTTATTAGCATCATAGTAATTTCTTTATTTCTTTATTTCTTTATTAGCATCATAATAATTTCTTTATTTCTTTATTAGCATCATAGTAATTTCTTCATCATGACAGGTTCAATACTTGTTCTTTATTAGCATCATAGTAATTTCTTTATTTCTTCATCATGACTCAATAACATAAATAAGTCAGTTTCGTGACAGTGCTCATCATGACAGTGCTAATTAGCATCATAGTAATTTCCATATTAAGCCATTTTGATAACAATGCTAACTTAATTCAAACTAATTTCATTCACTATAACCTTACAATTTATTCATATAATCAAGTCCAAATTTGAACAACAGTGCTAACTTCAAACTATACAGAAATTCTAAGTCCAACTGAACTCAACAAACTTCAACTAACTGAATTAGTTTCATATTCACCATTCAAGCTCTAACATTCAAGTTCTAACTGAATCCCTCAGATTTAAGAGTTCATCCTGACAATCCAATTATGAAAAATATAGTTTTCAATCCAGAGAATCATTAAGCTAAACTCAACCCAATATCCTTAAACATACACAATTTAAACTTTAAAGTTAAGCACAATTTCTGATACCAAAATTCACAGAGACATTTCATCAAACACATGGGCATATAATGTAAAACTCTTTCTGGGTTCATACGAAATCAATTCAACAGAACAATTTCATCAGAAGATTAATATCAAACAAGGAGAGGATCATTGAACCCTAATTTAATATTCAACAATTCAATGAAAACAGAGAGGAGCATTGAAGCCTAATTTCAACAGAACAAAGTTAAATGAAAACAGAGAGGAGCATTAAACCTGGAAATTTGAAATGATACAAAAACCGGAATAACGAGTCGTTGGTATATTGCGGCGGAGAGAACGAACTTGCGCGGTGGTGGAGAAAGACCTGAAAATTTTGTTTTTTTTTTAATTTTTATAACTTTTGCATATAAATTTTAATTAAAAAAATACATTATAACCGGTCCAACTATCAAACCGTGTTTTACCGGTCCAACTCGGATTTCCCTTGTTTTTACCGGGTTGATGACATATCCGATCTAACTAGTAACCCAGGCCAGTTACTAGGCCGATTCCCGGTCGGACCGGTTCGACCGACCGGTCCGGTCCGATTTTTAAAACACTGCGAGCAACCACTTGCTTAGTAACATTGGCATATGATGCAACCTCAACCCACTTGGTGAAATAGTCTATGGCCACCAATATGAAGTGATGTCCACTCGAAGCTATTGGCTCAATCATCCCAATCATGTTTATTCTCCACATGGAAAAAGGTCATGGTGAGGTCAAGACATTCAAAGGAGTGGGAGGTACATGAATCTTGTCAGAGTATATTTGGCACTTATGGTAAGTTTGAGCATGGTGGTAACAATCAGCTTCCATGGTGAGCCATTTATATCCCGCTCTCAATATCTTCTTTGCCATCGTGTGTCCATTCGCATGGGTTCCAAAATAACCCTCATGTATGTCTTTCAGAATCTGTTCAACCTCATGCTTCTCTACACATCTAAGAAAGACAGTGCCATGATTGCGTTTGTACAACACATTTCCATTTGGGAAGAAATTGGATGCCAATCTTTGCAGAGTCCTTTTGTCAATACCCAAGGCACCCTAGGGATATTCTTTCTTCTCTAGATATTGCTTTATATCATATAACCACAGCTTCTCATCTGATTCTTCATCAATGATTAAGCAATATACGACTTCGATTTCATTTATGACCAAGACACACTCGAAAATTTTTCTATATTACTTCAAGATTTCAATATCTCACCCAAATATTTTAATTCCATGTGGGCGTTAAATTTGTGAGCTAACAGACGCATAATCACACTTATATAGTAAAGATACTATACGTATCTCTGATATGTCTGGTGTGCAGAGTCGACGACCAGTAATTATAGACCATAAAAAAAGGTGGCATTCTTATCGATGGAATTGACTTATACTAAAATACAGGATGGACTAGAAGGGACCTAAGCAGTCCTTGAGTGGGAGATTTCATCCCTTCAATAGCAGCCCTTGTACTGATTTTAACCTCTTCACTGGCGCCTTTGTATGTCTCAACTTGACCTCTTATTGCCAGTTATAGGCTTGGTTGTCGGGCCGACAGTTCAAAAATGTTTCGGATACAACCCCAACATGTCTTTCGTCTAATCAGGAGAAAAAAAAATTAAAACTTGCTACAAGTCTTAATGAACTTTTCACCAACCCAATAAACTCAACTAGAGATTAAAACTTGCTACAAGTCTTAATGAACTTTTCACCAACCCAAGATGAACTCAACAGCATCACCAAATCATAAAACAAGCATCATGAAAATAGAAATGCGAATTACTCCATAATTAAAACCAACAAATACTAAATCAAACCTCAATTAATAAACAAAAATCATCAAAAGATTATGATAAAAATAATATGCACATCTTGAAAAAAAATTACATAGAACACACAAAACTAAAGCTGGAGGTGGCTATGAAAAACATTTATATAAGAAACAAAGTAGAGAAATAGCTTCATAATTCACAACATATGTCTTTCAATCAAAATTAAAAAGGGTTCATCTTAGAAATTTGATTTATATGAATTTATTCTCAATTATTATTTTGGGTAATATAAAACAATTTCAATTTACAAATACAACATTTAGTGATGTTTTTACAAATTTGATTTCTTAAACATCTATATTATTGTTGTTTATAATGGACTATTAATGTGAAATAATTGGAAGCAGAACATTAAAAATTTACCATAACAAAACAGTTCATTCACCATCATCATCCTAAAATGAACAAACCCATGCAGAAATCACATAAACAATAAAAATGAAAGCTTTCAAAAGAACTTGAAATAACAAATGCACTAAAATTGCAGTAGTTCAAATAATAACAGATTAAGGAATGAAGTATTTATATACAAATAAAGATAAAAATCTAGAAATATTGAGAGAATATTGACACAGCAAACAGAATATTTATGTTTGGAACAATTGTCATCAAATTGCAGAACCTCATTATGAACCACATTTTATGTAACACCGGATGGAGATACTTCGCCAAATGTGCCAAAGAATGTTCATCAAAAACAGTTTCCTGCAGAATCTTCCTTAATAAATCCTGGCAGGTCACAGACAATCAAAAGATAACTGAAAAAGTACACAGACAAAGAATACCCGTTCTGTCAAATCATTGAATAAAAATTGCACATTCTTAAAAACAATGAATGAGATGTCATATAGTCTGCAGAACATGATGGTGTCCAATAATGAATTATGATGCCCAATGAAATCCTTAGAGAAGAAACGAACTGCTATTGCTATATATCATAAATAACAGACACAAACAACAGCAAAAAGAGTAC